AATCTACAACCCAAATACATATTATAAAACATTGTAACAATTAAAACAGACAATATGGTATTATATAGTGTTTTATTTGATATTACATTTTGATCGTGAGCACGGGATTATGATTTATTGTAAGAAGTCTCGTACTGTGTAACATTGGTTTAGTAACGCACACAATAATATTCGTATCTCAGTTCCAGAATCACATGAAGACTGTAGTCTGATACAAATATATATTCTTCATGCTCTGTTTTGTAACTAACAAGGTAATCGCTAAATGATATACTCAATTATAATGTTGCGATTACATTCATTTTAGTTTATTTTAGCTTGTGTGTTTTGATTATTCATTTACATGTGACATATTTGTTGGAATGAATGATTTGTTTACGTATGTTACTGGGAAAATATGAGAATTCTTCCTGATTCGCCACTGTTTCGAATTATTACGAGTCGCAATAATGTTTAACAAGGGATATGAACACGGCGCAAAAGGGGCGACAACAAATCAAACAATAGTCTGAAACGATCGCCACATTTTTGTCGCGATTGCAATGGGGGGGGTGTAATATTGACCCAGGACAATACCTTCAAATGCCACGTACAAAGTCAGTCTCAAAACATTAACTGAATAAACCTACAATACTATTTTTCAATAACACAATTCGGCCTAATTCGTCGTTTTTATACACAAAAACGACGAATTAGGCCGAATTTTGTTATCGATTGGCTCAATATGACCCCACCGGACCGAATTTTTGTGAAAGATTGGTATTTTTGTCCTGATTTGTAGGAATCTGAAAAGCGCGTTTCACAACTTGTCTCTTATTTAGTTTTATGCGTCATTCAAGATGGCGGCCCCCATATAGTAAATATCGTATTTATTTTATTATAACGTGTGCGCCAGCTGACTGTGCTTGCCACCTTGAGGGATGACATGCAATGGAAAGGAACGTACGACACACACATGAGTCTTGTTTTTTGCAGAATCATGTTCAGCCGGAGACCATGCACCGAGTACAAAATCTAGATGTGACAACAGCACCTCGTAATCCCAAGGGACCAGGAGAGTATGGTGTGTCCGTGATAACGAGGCCAGAGGACGAGGCTAAGGTAAAGACTGGCTGGAAACACGCCTCCTTCAATGAATTCGTCAGTGACATGATATCTGTAGAGCGAGCTATTCCAGATGTAAGACCAGAAGAGTAAGTACGAATCATGTCCATCCAAGTCGGAGGGCGATGCCACAACAATTGTGAACAGGATAATATTGTAACCATTAGTAACATGTGTAATCATGTGATGTTAACACTCCGCCATGCACTGTCTTAAATTAAAATACCATCTGTAATCTGTAAATAATCTAGTCAAGTTCGCGACCAATAGTGCCTAATCTGCCACTGCAACTACAATACAATAACATATTCTAAGTAGGGGACAGAAAAATCACGTTGTTTCTTAGTTTTTATTTTAAATCTAAGAGTTTTTCAGCGGTTATTTAATTGCCATTTAACTTCTCCAATCATTTGGGAGAATGTAGATTCACCTGTATGTTTTATTCATGAACATAGTAGTTATGGCAGCCTAGCTTTCACAAGTTATGCTCATGTGAATCACATTTTTCAATTTTTGAAGTACTGAAAAAAATATAGTATAAAAGTTTAGTTTACTGGTATTTGGAAAATATGCTTGTTAAAAGATCTTTCACCGTTCAAGGACACTAATTGTAGAAAGAATATTAGAATTCGACAATTTTCTAATAATCAAAATCGTAATTTACCTTTTCCAAACAAATTAAAATACTATATTCCTATACGAACAGGTAGAAAATATATAATACCAAATACAGTGAAAATCACAAGTTGGGAAATCTGCTCCAGACAAGCATTACTTGAGAACGCTGATACATTTGGTTTGCATGGTTGCTATGGTAATATACATAACTACTGACTAAAAGAATGATTGGCTTCGGAGCAAATAGTAAATAAATAACTTGATTTTGGATCAGTAGTCTCAGATTTTATTGACAACTTTGCCCTGCCTAGTCATATATATATATACAAATAAAACAAACAAGAAAATTGACATTACGTTTTTGTGGTTAAGGTAAATATAACTGTGCCGCACTGCTTGGTTGTTGATTCGATTGACAACACTCATTATAGAATGGTAGTTATGTTATATTCAAAGATATCGAAATGCATTGGAATAATTCTCCTGTCGATAAAACGGATCTTTTATCTCAGCGGAAGTTATTCCATTAATTATGTGTACGTTATTCTTGATACGACAGTCGGTATTTTTCAGAATTATTTACATTCAGTTTGTTTCCGCATTCCCCCCCCCCCCGAATGCAATAAATTTCCTGTCACTTTGTGACTCATTTGTTTCATTACTTTGATTGATAGTAAGAACACAAATGACGGAATTGTGATCATGTTTTTCCGCGTTGCCAAGGCAACGAATTGTAAAGGTGAACTCCTACCACCGAGTGATTATTCAAATACTGTTTATTTCACTCTCTGTTCGCCCTAGACGAACAAAAAGGTTCTCGGGCAAGCAGCCCATCAGATCGTCCAATGATTGGTTAATAATGTTACGCTTCTCTGTAGTACTATGCCCTTTGTAGTTAAATGCGAAAAGCTCACGTAACACAATATCAGTATGTGCTACAGCAAGAATGTTGCCGAACTGGAGCCGGAGCCCACATACAAACGAAGGCACGACAGTTAATGGCATACGTGTATTGCGGTTGCCGCGAATCATCGTCAGCTCATACCACCATTAAGGATTGGTAAATAGAAGCACTGGGAATGGGGTGACGGAATTGAAAATAAATTACATGGAAAAAAATCTTGCAAAAATCACTAACATGAAATCATGGAAAAATATTACACACAGAGGAAAAAATACAGTGACTATTTTGGTTATGTTTCTGTTATCGCCTGGAGTTTCCAATGGTCAACCCTTTCTAGGAACGGCATGTGATTACTAGTCTTGTCGCTACAAACAGCAACTCATACCATAGTACGTACGGGTATGTGATGAGTACTGATGTTACAAATATTGTCAGAAATTCCAATTGCTCAAAGACACATGAAAATACATTTTCAGCACAGACCATCGCCTTAGCACACATGAAAATACATTTTCAGCACAGACCATCGCCTTAGCACACATGAAAATACATTTTCAGCACAGACCATCGCCTTAGCACACATGAAAATGCATGGACTGTGAATTATTCACTCAATTGAGCAAATCTAAGAAAGTACTATTAAAAGCAAACGTATCGATGTGTTCACAGTACTGTCGAAATTTTCTTAATGATCGATCATCGTCGTTTTCCGCGTCCTCTTGGTGGTCCTTGCTTTGGGAGACATTGAACACACACTCTGACCCGAGGAATTGTGCCACCATCGACCGGGCTCACACACCTCACACGACCGTGTTGAAAGCTTATACTAATTCATGGATAAATTTGATAGACGTCAAAATATGGATATAGAATGGGTATTAATTCAGGGCCATATACGTCAATAACCCAAACATTAATTAATCACCATACCAATTCCTAAGCCAACAATTACATAATATATCGATCGCAACTCCATTATTTTTGTCAATGTTATCGATTATTACTAACTAAAATAAATAATTCCCGTCTCTGGTTTATACATGGAAAGATAGGATAGATTGTGATATTGCTGCTAAAATGTGTCATACAGCCAGGTAGATTTATTTATTTATTTATTTCAGATGCCAAGACAAACTGTATTCGGACAGTCTTCCTTCTACAAGTATCATAATATGTTTCACGGAAGAGTCTTGGTCAACGTTGGTTAGGAGTGTACATAGTGTCATCAACCGATCTCCACCACAACTCATCAAGGAAATCATATTAGTCGATGATTTTAGTTCCAGAGGTATTGTCTACTTAACATTTTTGGACGTTGGTGGCGGATCTCAATTGGTGGTATGTTTAATGGACAATTTCTGTTAAAGTGGGTTTTATTTTGCTTGTCTTTGTGACTTCATTGCATTTTTGTTAGCATGTGAAGCACAGTCAGTTTGCGTATGAGTGATAATAAATAAATTCGACTGATTTACGGGGCCAAATATTTACTAAATGGAGCAGCCATCTTGAGTAAGGCTTGACAAAAAGTATATTTCTTTAGTTTCAAGCCATATTCAAGAGTGCTGTCCCATATAGTAAATTTCAGTAAATCGGTTTTTACTTGTACCCAGCTGACTATATGCTGTTAACAGTCCGACTTTGTCATATTTGTCATAAATGGTTGCGTCGATTCAGATTTACGCGCATGTTGCAATGTTTCCACTATTCAACACCATGTACAATCAATCTTTAAAGATTGGGCGATGTATTATTCGGGGAGTGAACTATGGTGTATATCACTGTTAATTAATTCATTTATTTATTTATACATTTAGGTCACATTTATTTTTTAAATTATTTGTTCATTGAGGGTAGTCTGACTTACAATTATTTTGTAATAAATAATATTTATTGATTCAAATCAGAATACCTAAAAGCTCCATTGGATAAATATATGAAGAGGTTCCCGCAGGTTAAAATTTTACGTCTTGAAAATCGAGAAGGTTTGATCCGTGGTAGACTCCGTGGCACGGAGATCGCACAGGGAGAGGTTTTGACGTTTCTAGACTCTCACATCGAGTGTGGCGTTGGTTGGTTAGAACCTATGCTGCAGAGAATTAAAGAAGACCGTAGGAACGTGGTAGCGCCAATGATCGACGGGATTGATGCCACAAAATTCAGGTGAGGGGCGAAATAATTTTAATTATAAGGGTGGGGTGGCTGATAGAATGTGATCGGTGCACATTTTTTTCGCGTTCACTTATCTATATATTTGTCTTTTTCTTGACAAATTTGGAGTGTAGTTGTCAAAGTATATAGCTCAGCGTGGTAGAGATGAAGTACACGGGGTAGTTGACATACCCCCCCCCCCCACACACACACACACATGTACGGCAGTGGGTAAAACACCAAAATTTAGAATACGTGTGTCAGCCAAGCCTAAACTGCCCCAAAGTTTAGCTGCCTCAAAAATAGGACTCCTTTCATATGTCAGGGTGAGACAAAAGGATTGTTTTAGAGTCAGAGTGTTATGAATAATTGGAACACGTATACATGTATTCAGAGTAGAACAAACGGATCATTTTACAGTCCAAATGTCATGAATAATCATAGCTAATAGAAAACAAAACAAAGACAGCTAATATTCTAGCATAAACCTTAAAATTCATATTTTAAGGTAGAGATGCAAGTTCGTGGGCACTTGGGGGTGAATTTTTTTTTTAGCTTTTTATTATCCAAACAGTCTTGGCTATAGACTGAATAGTGAAACATACTCAAAAGACGATTTTAAAATATAGATAACAGGTGCAAACATTCTCTCTTTTGAATGCTTATCAAGATTTAGCAAGGCTATACATAAATAAAGAAAAGAAACATGGTGAAAAAAAGTAATGACGAGATCTCCATATTGTGCACTATATTTAACTTTTTACAAAACGATAATACATTTAAATTTGGAACTGTTACAGCCATTTTAATTATGAGCACTAGCAAACTTCTTACTGAGTGAATTGTTATACAAATTAGCAATTATCTCAGCTTCGTTTTAGTGCACATCCTAGATTTTTTTTTAAAATAGCTCCTAGACGCTTTGACCTTTTGTTTTGAAATTTTCACAAATGATTGACAATGTGTTTATCTTCAAAACACCGTCGGGGCATTGTTTTTGGTTGAACAGTGTTACAACAATCGTACAGACAACTAGCCTGGGTGTTAATTTATGCATAAACTTGAATTAGTGAAATTTGAGTTGCTGCCCAGCAAAATTGACAGTTTTAAAGACGGCACTTTCTTCATAGTAAACATATGTACACGTAAACCAATTTTGACAGGAAACAGAGGCATGGTTTAGAAGCTAATTTTGTTTAAATCCCTTTTGACCAAAAAAGCACATTTTTGTGCATATTTCAAACTACAGTGTCCATAAAAAATACTTACACAATTTTACACAATAAGCTTTCCGAAAATATATAGTTTAGTGGACAAGGGAGGTCATTTTGGTTTCCTAATTAACTAATTAAAATACTACCCCAGACCACTCGTCCCGGTGTTATCGCGATATGGCGATAGCGATAACACCGGGACGAATGGTCTGGGGTATTAAAATACCTGTCAGGTAAACTGCATCTCTACCTTAAGGTCTATGATTTTTGTCACGGTAGACCATAAATAAATGAAAGGATAGCAATGTTTTGACAAACAATGTATGTGATGACCTTTGACCGACTAGTAGCCATTTCTGCCCCACACTTTTGTCCCGCATGTTTCTCATGCCTAGGATAATTTTATCAAACTAAGCTACATCACGCATAATGTTTTGGTCTTCTATTTCATTCAAAATGTCCAACTGGTTTAAGAGTGGATTTATACGATTTTGTACGATGTGAGAATCTTATTTCTAAAGGTTTTCGCTTTGTCCGAACAAAACTGGAATAAGATGCAATTTGAAGTAACAGAAGTATATTTAAAATGCTGTGTTTTCAAACATTTAATTATAATAATAATGTTTCGTTGTTTTTAATAAACATTTACTAAAAAAATGAACGGGAACTGTGTCATTGACATTGACTTATTTTATTTTAATTGTTAAGTTATTTTAATGTGATATATTTTGATCATTCATATGAGTAAGCTCAGAATGTTTGTATGTATCACTGACTCATATTCAGCTACGTACACAAGAACATGGGGGTCAATTTAAAAAATACGATCTATATTTATGAGTCAGTTAACTTATCTGCTCTGTTTATTGAAAGTTATTGACCTCAGTTGTATGAGATCTGCCATCAAATGGTTAATACGACACCCAATGCATTCGGTTATATTCTGGAGAACGGATTCCGAAGATTTCATCATAGTAGCTGGTTATGTAAATATGGCATAATAACTGATTCTGCGTATTACATTTAATTCTAGAGAGAAAATAGAAACTCCTCATAGCAATTTATTGTTTTATTATGCGTCAACAGGAAATATTTGTTGGCATTTCTGTAGATTAAATTTTCATTTTTTTTTCTAAAACAATCATTGTTTACATTTTTCGTCATTGTCCCTATTTGCATTTTTTCTAGTAAATTTGTGGCCCATCCCTGACTTCAGTTATCTAATCCTAGTGAATATTTTTGACAATTTGAATAAAAAATTCGATTTTCCACCTGTTCTTGAAAATAGCTAATGATTGTTCTGGTATTCTTTATGTGCGTGTCTTGGGTGGACCTCTGCAAGATATGTACATTTCGCGGCGATATCTTCATTTCTCTAATTTTATTAGCCTCACTGTCATCAATGACGATAGAGCGGGGCTGTCCATATACATGGTTGTCTGTCTGTGTTGACGTCTGCTATAAATGTCTTATTCACGACAATCGCTTGATTGCTTTGATACTTGACATGTAGTTAGTTACCTTGGGTTGAGCTCTGTCAGATTTGTTCATTTCGTGATGGTAACTTCAATTCTCTTTCTTCAGCGAATATTTTGTCATGTTGAATAACAAATTATATTATCGACTTTTTTTCAAAAGTACCAGCCCGATTGATTTAATATTTGGTATGTAGTTTTTCGTGACGGTATCTTCAATTCTCTGTTATTGTTTTTGGGGGGTAGTGGTGATATTATCGTTTTCTTTTAGGATTTAGTGCATTGGACAGATCTTAATTAAATTGTGTGGCGCTATCTTCAACTCTCTATTTTTATAGTGAATATTTTTGGGTTTTTTTGATAAAAAATATCAAATTATCATACACCAGTGCTTCGATACTTGAAATGCGGAAACCTTTCGTAAACCTCTATAAGATTTACAACCCGATGATAACAATTGAAGTCACCATGGCAACAGTAAAAATAACCTTGGTGACATCATCAGTTAATCGTAAAAAACATATGATCAACTGTGTTGACTGGAAACAATCTACTAAGACAGCGGAGAGCCTAAGGTCGCTTTTAAAATGTTGTTTGTAGACAGCTAACTCCAGGAAAAATCTAACCCGAATGTTTTCATATTTATCTGTGAGTACCTTGGATGGACGTTTACAAATTTGTTCATTTCGTGACAATAATTTCAATTCTCTGGTTTGAATGATTGTGTAATTTTTGGACTGAAACAATGATATTATAGACTTCTTTTTAAAAAGCCAATTTATTTGATGTTTTATCTGCATTGAGGTATCTTTGGCCGACTTCTTTTGATGCCGACTTCTTTTGATGTCGTGGCGATAACTTCAATCCTCGAATTTCGGTAAATGTGTGTGCCATTTTTTTGTTGATGGAGCAGACTTCTACTAGTGTTAGATTTATTCATTTTATGACAATATTTTTAATTTTCTGTGATGTAAATCAGATTTCTTTAAGACTATGCACTACAGCTAGTAGTCACGAAACATATACGATATTGTGTAATTTTGTTTGTTAGCTATGCTGCCTCCAATCTTATACGTGGTGGTTTCTCGTGGGAGATGCAGTTCAAGTGGAAACCGATACCGGATTATGAAATGAAAAGACGAAAAGATGAAACATGGCCGATAAGGTGAGCTGTTTGAAACGAATGTAAAGCTAGTGATAAAAACCTACCCATAGAGGGCGCAAAACACGTTGCTGGTAAAATGACCTACAATATTACCCAGCGTGTTTTCATTCGTTACCACAAAAATAATGTTAGCTAAGTATTACATGAAATAAAACAATGTGAACTAATTCGTTGGTATATTTAGTTGTGTTGTGTTGTGTTGTGTCGTGTCTTGTCGTTACAATGGTTATAAGTTATAACTTCTAGTAACCATTACAGGTCACCGACGATGGCAGGAGGTCTGTTTGCTATTGACAAAAGTTATTTTTTAGAAATTGGTACATACGATCCGGGATTAGAAATATGGGGAGCTGAAAATCTGGAACTTTCTTTCAAGGTATGCAGTGTACAGTATTTCTTTTTCTTTTCAATACCAAGTCCAGTCATTCTCCTTTGTATATTAACCTAATGGGTGCGCTATGTCGGGTAAATGTATTTATCGCCATAATAAAAATGTAAAATGTGCACGATAACCTTTTTAACATGCGTATTAGTGTTTTTTTATTTTTTATTTTTCATCGGACAACTAACCCCTTGTGTATTTCAAAATTAAATCTTACGACATAATCCAAATTGGTTTACATGCATATCAAACAATTACATTAAAATATATGTCCATATTCTGCATCTTTAAAAAATTATCAGTACATCTTTCAATGAACATTTCCAAGATCCTTTAAAGATACAATATGGATGAGAACATGAATACATTGGATTATGGCTGAACTTGAACTCGAACTATAAACGCTATATGTTAGTGTACGATAAAGTATACATATGTATTACAATTTAGTTCTCAAAATGCTACATCAAACAATGATATTAAAAATACATGACATATTGCCTCTTTAATTTCATCGCAAATATTATTTTAAATAAAACTGTAAATCAATTAATAACGCGAGAATAAACAGGCTTGCCGCTACTAGACAGAAGGGCTAATATCTTAGTTGCTATTGTTATTTCCTCGGCAGATATGGATGTGTGGAGGTAACCTTGAAATGATTCCATGTTCCCATGTTGGTCACGTGTTCCGTGCCAGTCAGCCATACAAATTCCCCGAAGGAAACATAAAGTAAGTTATGACATTTTAGTATCTCGAATATATATATAGAGTTTCGAACTTCCGGTGTCGACAAATTTGTTGTTTTTCAATTAATACGAAATTCTTGTTTTGCTGGAAAGGATTGTAAAAAATTCACGTAATAAGAGAATGGCCCATATTGCAACTGTAGTTATGTCTGCCTGGACAGTACCCCCACAATACAGCTCCATGAATAATCACAGATAGCAACTTCCGGGTCTAAACTGGCGGACTTTCGTAAAGATTTATTAATTAAATTTGGGACATCGTCTTGCATTTCTAACTTGAAAAAAGAAGAGTGGGGATCTTATTTATTTTATTATTCCAAAATATTCTGTTGTAAATTTTAAACATGAAATTTTCAAACAAATTTGCTAACTTGCGAACTCGAGAATCATTCTAGCGGAAATGACGTGAGTAACCATTTGATTTAAATACTCTGTCTTACCTGTAACTCGTGTTTCAGAACGTTTATGCGCAATAACATGCGTGTGGCCGAAGTCTGGATGGACGAATACAAGGACATATTTTACGCACTCAAACCCCAGCTGAAGGGAGAAGACTATGGTGACGTCACTGAAAGGAAAGAACTTAGAGACAGACTTCAATGTCATGATTTTAAGTGGTATCTTCAGAATATCTACCCGGAGTTGCCAATACCCGACCTCAAAGTTCAAGCAAGGGGAGAGGTAACAATTCAACTTTTATAGATGCAATATGGACGAACAAATACATTTTTCAATATTGTTGTTTTATACTGCATATTGATGACCAAATTACATGATGATTTATCATAAAATAAAAATGTTACCCATCATTCGACGTAGAAACCTAATGCGCATGTGCAGTGTGTTTTTTTAGTGTGCGCACGGAAACAATTAGTTGACATGCGCATTAACAATCCATTTTTTCATCGAACTAATACTTAGTTGTTTACTACAAGAACGCCATTTTTGTTGGTGGTAAATCAAATTCAACAACACACAATGTCAAACAACAATATTAAAAATTGTTTAATATCCATCCATATTGCACATTTAATTAACAGAGACTGATGAAGAACCGAGCTAATATTGTTATATTCACGCTATTAAACCTAATGTTCCTTGGAATAGGATTTCATGTATTTGTTAAAGAAGAAGTCAAGGCAAACAAGATAATGCTCCCGGATGAAAGAGCTCCATAACTGTAGGAGGGTGTAATTTACAGTTTTTATATTCACTTTTCATTCTCTATATATTTCAACTTTTCATGGGTATTATTATCATAGGCCCTCTGTTAGAGGTCTATTATGTAGTCATTTCCGTTCCAATTGCCGTCACGGGCTGCCTTATTTTGGAAATACGCTCTACTTATCACCGCATATGCACACTCGGAACATAACATAACAGTAAACAATAATAGACACTGCATTGATTTCATTCCAAAAACTAGGGGTATTTCTGGCTCATACTCTCCGCTGAGTCGTTTTAAATTTGTATTATATACCACATTATGTCAATATACATTTATGTTTGCATATACAGACTGTTGAGCAAATCTAAGTACCACGTGATCCATGGCCCATGACCTCTGCCGGGAGCAATCTAACTCTTGCTCGTCATCGATCGGTTGTCTTGAATAGTCGTTTTTGTCCAGCCACTTTAACACATGTTGGTGTAAATCCAGACGTAGCTGCGAGGCTGTCACCTAGCAACTAACGGATATCAACATATTGTACTATATCTACCGATTGAGCCTCTATAATAAATTGACCATGTAATAACTACAATTCCATGTCTCATAGGATAAATTCTTCAACACCCAGTCTAAACACTAACAACTCTGTGATACTTCCCCCACTTTATCTCAGCCCGTCGCCACGTGACAGCATGTGTCACAAAGCAAAAATATCACGAATGTCGGTATGTATTCTTTCTAAACAACATTTTTACTCCAGCTTAGAAACCTTGGTAAGATTGGTTACTGTATGGACACGATGGGTGCTAATGCCATGTGCGCACATCCATGCCATGGAATAGGACATAATCAGGTACGGTGCACATCTGTTATAACGCCCTCTATCACTAGTTTAGTGTATATATACACAGTCCAGAAGGACTGTTCTATATATAACAATATACATGTAGTTGATAATCTATGCTATTTACTGAACGTAAAAACGGCACATTCGTTCTAGGCCGTCAAATAATAATAAATACTATTTTCAAAAGGTAGTGTAGTAAACTAATTACAATAATCTTTCTTCATTTGATTATTTTAGATGTTCTCATTTTCCTGGCAACAAAAGATTTGGTTCGGCGAGCTCTGTTTAACATCGTCCCCGTATCAAAGGGCCTCTATTCAACAGATATTTGCAAACCAGTGTAACTCACCCAGAGTGATTCACTGGCAACACACAGTGGTGAGTATTGTTTACAAGCGACGCCGGGACGCAACGTCGATATACTACGTCCGATACCGACGGGCAAATTGCCCGTACTAAGTCGCCGAGGGCGTACTGAACTCACGTGACCGCGACACTGACAGGTCTCAACCCTTCCCTGTGTTTTTAAAACTATTTCACACTTAGCGTCAACAATTTAAAAATAAAAATAAAACAGCAAATCTTATTGTGAGATAACTTTTCGCATTATGATTTTTTTTATTTGCATTTTTTCGAAAAAAGACAAAAATCAAAATAATAATTCGATACTTTTTACCACCTTGGTGACAGAATAACATTATCATGATTAAACGTGTTGTTATTTCAGAATGGTAAAATGATGGACACAAAAACTGGAAAATGTTTAGACATTGGGACTGATCAGAAATTCCTAATCCTGAAGACTTGTGAGAATAGTGCCACGCAGAATTGGAAATGGGGAATGTACTTTGACAGAGATGGAAACAAAATAAACGAACTGCCAGTGATGTAACTGTTTGGACATGTTTTTAGACGATTCTTTCTACGAAAATCCACTTTAACAATAATGTAATAATTACGTGGTAAAACATTTTCGTCTTAAAACCAACTTGATGTGCTGAGTACATATCATGATGTCGAGTCATGTAGATATTGATACTGTTGAATTGATATAATGTGTATGTGTGTGTGAAGTTGTGCATTTCATGAAACTTAAATTTTCTAGATCTATATTTAAATTTGTATAACGTTCTGAAAATAAATTTGCGCGTCGTGCATTTGTCGGTCGTTGGCCAGGCGCAGAACTGATTGACATTGCGCAGTACGTATTTGTTAATCGTCTATTACGTAATATACACATAATGATTTTTTATTATTCATGGAAATTGAACATTTGAGGGTAGTTTCCTGTGGATATGGAAAACTACGTGAGGTTGATGTGATTGCTGAACTTTTAACTCGATTAACTCATCTTGACTATGTTTTCAATAGCTCACATCCTCCTCCTTGTATTTGAAAAACTGGCATTTACATAAATTCATTACTTAGGTATTATAAATATGTTTTTATGTAATTCCAGATATACAAAGTATACAAATAATAATATAACAGTAAATGAAGAAACAGTTACCGGACACAATGTGATAATGAAGACTCTGGGGGAGGGGGCTGATTAAAACAATACTAGTGTGTCACGTACGAGCATTTTAAATAAATCAGCTATTTACCCGCTTGGTCAACGCAACAGTCACCATCTGTGTTCATACGAGACCCATATGTTGCGCATATGTGGTGTGACCACCACTGCCCTTTTAATCAGAGTGCGCAGGTAGCCCTGCGAACATGGACTGTGTGTAGGGGGGCAATACCCAGGTCATTGTCATTGAGTTCGCCCCATACTAGTAATACTTCATTATCACATCATCTAGGAAAGATGTTCCCATTCAAGAAAACATTAGTTTAGTTGGAATAATAGCACCAAGCCATGGTTTTATAAAAGTTTTCGCGAATAACATCAAATACCAACTTGATATATTCAATTTTAGTATGTTTAGTTTCATTTGCATTCTCATCGCCATTCTTCGTAAAGGCCACCATATTGAAAAACAAGATTTTCTCATCTCCATGGAAACCAGTCACTTATATATACATATAGCTATTGACTCGCTGTCCAATGTATATGGTGTATGAATTTTTTATTACTATGACAACTTCACATCCCAAGTCAAAGCATAGCAAACGCTTCGAGTTACAAATATTAATGAAATATTCTCGTGCCCGGGTCACGTTCCATACACAGAGTAATATCATACTACAACGCATTGTCTTAAAACACTCGCCATACTGCATCAATTTTATTCGGCGCCATTATACATGTACTTAACTTCGATTTTGTTCTGATGTAAGGTAATATTGAATCTTCAAGCTGAAATTGATTTTCCAGAGAATATTCATCAAAGCTTGCTAGAAAGAAAGAAAAGAAACATCGAAATTTCATGTAACATTTAGAATCAATAGAACTATTTCGTCTACTCCCTGGCGCAATGCGTTACCATAACAACTATGAAAAATGGGCAAGCTGACACATCTGGAGCCATTGATAACACGTCACTGGCGGCCGTTAATACAGTGTCGTTCGAGATAGCCACATACGTAAAATACATGCCATAGACATCCCTGTGTCGGGGAGGCTGGTGTGCGATGGGTGATAACCAACCAGCCCGTATCTCAGGTGTTCCTTGATGACCTTTGACTGCGAAAGTCTGAACCGACGAACAGCACACGACACGCAGCTCATGATCCCATTCTCCCATTACTCGGCAATGGCGGCTTAAATGTTCCGTGTTGTAAATTCAGCCACATAGGCGGGAACACCGTGTTATTATATAACGTATACCGTTAGGACGCAACTCACAAGTAGAGTCCCGCAACGAGAAGGTACGTATCAGAAATGTTGAGTTACAAAATAATGAAATTAATTACATATGTCTGATGATAATTACATCGTTTGATTGTTGGATAGACCTCTGTTTATAGTGAAATAAACATGATGTTGATCTGTGGAGCTGACATACAGTTTGAAAGTGTTGTTTTTGAATTAACATATCACCATATTAAATGATGCCACTTGAATACGTACATTGTGGTTAGCGGACTCATATGTAGTACAACTAACATAAACACGATATGATGACTTAATAAAGATGGTACCATTGTCATAAAACCGTTTTTCTTTGCTAATAGTGTATATTCAATTTTAGCCTATGGAATATACGATATACAACAATAATGATACCACTATAATCTCTCGTAAACATGGAAAGAAAATGGAAGAACATGTGGTACATATTGCTCTCTTAAAACACGGACATGCGTTTATTTCTCTGTATCCTCAGCTTAGCCTCAAGTGGTCCTCAGACAACTAATTCATTTGTCTGAAGGCGATCAAGTGCGACTATTTTTAGAAGCCACACCTACTTAATATGTAAACATCGAATTGATGTTCAGTTTGTTGTTCACTGGAATTCAAATTACAAACTTAACCGAACTTTAATCACCAGTTAGCCGAACTTCGATTTCCGGGCAACATTATTGTTGTTTAACATCCGCATTTAGTTACTCAACATTTGAAGCGTGACTACGAAACATTGAAAGCTCAATTTGTTAACATATATTAGAGTCGCCGAGCAGTTTAATATTTTTTTAAATACATTTTTATGTTAACCTTGTCTCATAGCAGTTACATAGGACGCCATAGGGCCACGAACAAACACGGTCCTCTGCTCTGTACCATCACTGTTTCCAGTGCAAACACCAGAACGTTGACACGTCGGTAAAAACGTCTGGCGTTGTTGATTTTCAATATTACGTACATACATAAATGCAGCATCCGCTGATAACCGTACGACGTGTGTATGTTTATGTATTCCCAAACCCATAAAGCCATCAACAGGTGTTACCACCCATTGTTTCTAAAGTACTAGAGTGCGTGACTCGGGCTCCAATACGTGACTACAAGTCCAGATAATATTCTTTTGGATTATAACACTGTATTGTAAGTATCATCGTCTGGGTAATGTTAATTTACAGATTGCTGTTTTTGACCTAATTAGCTAAATTATTGTAGAATATTATGTGAGTTTATTTTCTGAAAAGTGACGAATATTGAAATTGACCTCTGGAGTTTACCACACATACGCTATATGTACGCAACTCATGCATAGTCAGTTGTCCCTCTGACGTTTAAACCACAATCCCTATAGTGGGGTTTACTGATAGACATTCAATATTTATGTGTGAAACTTTCATGTAAAATAGAAAATTAGCAGTTAGTGTTTATTTATGTTTGTATAATGGCACTCATTCGATATAGTCGCATACGGCTATCCACATTGCTATGACAAACCTCAGACTAGTAATAGTCTGAGGACAAACACTATGACATACTCAACACAGTTATAACCACTGTGAACGCATTAATCATTCCCATGTGAAATAACAATAGAACATGTTATTTCATTAAAAATAAACAAAAATACATTTCTTGAACCATCCATAAATGAGGAGCGCTAATTGCGAAACAGACAATTAAATACTTCCATGTCGGGCCTCATTACCATGGTAATATAGAAGCTAACAACCAAAGAATCACAATAGTTATCAATGCAAATGTTAAACAAATAAAAAATAGTTATTAAGTTAAGTTAGTTATGAAATTATTGCGGTACGGTTGTTTATAAATTAAACTCTTGTTTCTGTTGTAGTATTCATTCGGTGAAAAACTCGAAGGCGCATGCGCTTCGGCTTCATCTATACGTTCATATACGTGCAGGCGAACTCATGAAGGAATATTGCAGCTATGTTTGCAGCTGAAACATTATTTTAGAGTTTTATTTTACAATAAATCCTACTCTAATGTGTTTATCAAAATGTAGTATTACCCACAATTGTTTACACATGCTCAAAAATGCTCAAATTGATCACATTATTTCTTTAAAGGTAAGGAATCCGGCTATAACGGAATTTAACACATCCCTGGTACATATGAGAGTGGTGCGTGGGTGTGTATGTTTAGCTGCATGAGTAATAAGAACTACCTCACTGATACACAAGCCCGAATAAACATCTAGGGGTCACAGAAATCTATTGGGGGTCTTCCAACAAAGTGTCAAATTACCTTCATTATTCGGTCAATTGGAAATTATATATAAGATATATATGGTCCGTCTTCCTCTAGCGATATCGTTTGCAAGATGAATTATATCCAAAAGTAAAGATGTCGGAGCGTGATGCGAATGAATAGAAACTGGCCCGCCCATCCACAAGGGGCCTTATTATTCTGTGTTTAGCCTCTTTTTTTTCAATCTCTTTTTTTTCTACGTAGACACGTGCTAGTATGACCAGTGACGATTACATTGAATTTGACGCACTTCATTCTGGAATCCGTCCTGTATAACCGACGCAGTCGTAATCAATATATACATTCAAAGAACTTTTGACCTCAAGATTAATCTATGCAAACTGGTGCTACATTTTTCGTGAATTATTCGAAATGTCCAGAAAGAGGAGATATTGTTGTAAAATCGTCATTTTGACATCATTAGTATGGAGTATGCTGGATTTGGCGTTGATTGTCCAATTCAGCAATATATCAAGCGGCGACTATGGCAGATTTGAAGACATCGAGCAAATGGACGAGAAACTGTACGTTCGGACTGATGACATTAGTTCTAAGCAACGCGGAGTCATACAAAGAGAACCTGCCGGTAAAGAGTCTATCGATATTCACGCGGGAAAAAAAAGTCATCCTCCGGAAGTTCGAAACAAAAAGGAATATTTGTTGAAGAAGTTCGTAAAAGAGGAAATCTCAAAGTTAAATTTGAAAGAAAACAAAAACGATGCGAATTTTACGGGTGGGAAATCAGAGAAGGTATACGCATTGAAAAAGTTTATAAAAGAAGATATCGCTAAATTGAACGAAGAAGATCTAAAGAAGATGAAACAAGAAGCAGAAAAAGGTATTGTATTGAATAAATAAATAAATACATGATCTATACCTTTAAATCGCACCCTCTTTTAAAATTGGGTGAAATTTTCGCAATTTACTTTCAATCCTCCAGAAAAATATTGTTGAGGGAGATCTAAACTCTAAAATGTTCCCAAAAAGAGGGACTTAAATAAAGATATATGTCTGCTAGCACACTTTTACAGACTGCGGGTGCCCCGCCCTCTTTATTATACATGTACTTCAATATATTAATGACATAGTAGACTTCGTAATAAAAGTGGGCGTGTAACAAGTTATCATCAATATACACCCGTATAATGAATTGTAATACTCTTTTCGAGGGGTTCAGTTGGGGGAGGGTGGATA